CGGGGACACCCGGGCCTCAGCACACGGGGTCTGCGGCTGAAGCAGGTGAATGCCGGGGGCCAGACAAGTCAAAGGGGACCTGAGCAAGACGCATCTCAGCAGGGATCTCGGCCCAGGCCAGACACCCGCCAGCACGGTGTGCCCAGGATGTGCAGGGCCCCTAAGATAGCTTCTTTGAAAATTGGGGGACGATGAACTTTGAAAATGAAAAACATGACTTATTATAGAACACTTAACACTTCTACCCTCACAGGCCGCAGCAGTTCAAATGTAATTTTCCCTGTTTCCTGAGGAAGGCCCTACCTTCCCCTGCAGGGGCCACTTGGCTAAGATGGAAGTAAAGTGAGGAGGCAGCAGGAAACTGACCCACACAGGTGGCAGAAGTGGGAAGGAGATGCGGAGAGTAGGGTGCAGCTGGGGCCTCCCACCCATGAGGGCCCGTTCAGCTCATGGGACAAGGAGCAGCTGGCTCAGCACTCACCTGTTAGCCCGAGGTCATGGTCTTCCAGGTCTTTATCCAGGGACGCAATGTTGATATCACTGAGACGAAGGTCCAGGGCAGAACCTGTAAGACCAAACCTCAGCTTACCCACACAGGGCCTCTGCTGACGGAATCCTGAAGCCAGCTGGAAGTGAGGCCTAGAACTCAAGCATATGTGGCTGTTAGGGTCTGGGAACAAGCGTTGCTATCTCCCTGGCTGGGTCCTCACGTGCCTACACAGCTAGCCAGGCTCCCGCCTCTTGCAAAGCAAGGGCATTTTTTCCCTGCCGCCTTCTGGCAGTCCCAGCAGCACCACCCCATTTCCAGAGGTTCTGCTGCTTGTTTGGCTTCCAGTTGTTTGTTAAAACATGGCCTGGAAGGGGTGGGGGGCTGGGAGTGTAGATCAAAGGTATAGTGGTTGCCTAGCATGCATGAGGGCTCGGTTCAATCCCTAGTGCCACACCAAAATAAAACTACTTCACCAAGTAAACACATCCAGCTGTTAAAAATTTCCAAGGCAAGGGATTTCAATTAACAAGTGGTTGCAAAATCCAACACTGCTGGCTGGACAGGACCCTGGACCTCCTTGCACAGCATACATGGAGCCAACTCCACCAAAGGGTAGACACACATCCTGTTCTCTTTCAGGAGCCCCCAAACAAGGATGTTACCACACTGTGGGGAAACTGGTGCTTGTAAGCCCACCTGTTAAATGGACAGAGGCACTGAATGATGCCAGGGTCCCTCCAGGACAAGCTCATTTCCCAAACTTGTCACGAATCCCGCCCTCAGAACAAGTGGCTGCCGACCCAAGGAGGTGTCTTCACCTGACATCCTCTTTGAGAACCCTGACCCTCCAAAGCTACCTGCCCTGCACCAGACCACTGCCCTCCCTGCAACAAGCAGGGACTCTGAGGCCTCCTCCTGGGATCCAGAAGCTCCCAGGAGGCTGAGAACAGCCAGCCGTTGGGGCTCTTCTCAAACATCCATGGCCACAGCATGGTATGCCGTTCAGGGAAGGTGCAACCAGAAGCGGTGGGCCTCAAGCATGACAACACACTGCCACATGAGGAGGACCACAGATAGGACCAATCACCTTCCCAACAGTCCTGGCCAAGTCTATGGGCAGTACCTTCCCTGGCCTACTAGGGTCCTGGTTTCTGTGTGTCCCACGTGGTCCCTGCTGTCATCTTCTGTTGGCTGTGTCCCCTCCAGCCCTCACACCAAGAAGCCACAAGCTCCTCTGCCTATTCCTCCAACTATGCTCCCTCCCACCCTAGCCTAGGAAAAGATATGGTCCATGGTACAGTGACGAATCCCAGAGTCCCTGGTCACCTGCCTATGCAAGTCAGCACATGGCTCCTGTCCACCTTTCCTGCCGCCTAGCAGGGTCCTCAAGTCCCCTATCACATGCCAAAGTGCCAACACTCACAGTAAGCTCACTCAGAGGAGGGAAGGAGGCAGCGCAGCCACGGCCACCCATCCGAGTCTTACCCTGACCCACCGGGTAAGGCTCCCCAAGAAGCATATCTACCCATCAAGAGACAGCAGCACATTGGGGTGATGCCTGTTCATGGCACAGGTCATGCCAAGTGACCGCGTAAAGGTGAGGATTTAGCAGTGAAGACAGTGAAATGGATCAGTTAGGCGTGGGACTATCAGAAAGGCTGGAGTCGATACAGCCAGGTAGAGGGTGTGGTACTGTGTATGCTCTGAGTTTGGCCAGGACAGACAACAACATGACAGCTGATGGAAGAGATAGGTATGAAAGAAAGGAGACAGAGCCACCTCCCTTGGGGAGACGCAGCCACTGGGCACCAAATGCAGAAGTCACGGCTGACAAGTAGGGCTGACTGAGGGCAGCTCCAGGTGACCGAGAACCTGCTGACACAGCTCGTGCCCCTAGGTGACTCCCCATGGTGGGCAGTCCTCTCCACTGTGCTCTTGGGTCTTTCCCACGGCAAGTGCCCCCCCCCATTTAGCTGCCTCCTCACAGGGCTACGGAGTTGCAAACCTGCAGCTAAGAACATGCACACTAGGTGGCTTCAGATCACAGAAACTCAGCCTCCTGGTCTAACACTAAGGTGTATGCAAGGCAGTGCTCCCTCTAGAATCTCCAGGGGAGGGTCTTGGAGCTCCTGGACTTGGTCAAATCACTGTAATCTCTGCTTCCATTGTCACAGGCCTGTCCTATGTCTATGTTCACTTTGGTACCGGAGATCGAATTCAGGCCCTTCCTTGTGCTTGTGAGGCAGTGAGGCAGGCACTGGAACCACTGAGCTAAATCCCTGCCCGCCTCCCTTTTTTTTGACATGAGGATCCAAGGAAGGCAGTGGCACCACCAAGCTAAATTCCCAGCCATCTTGCCAAGTTGCTAAATTGCCCAGGCAGGGCTTAAACTTGCCCAGTTCCCCAGAGTGCTGGGACTACAGGTTTGTACCACCATGCCCAGCTACATTTCTCCTTTTTATAGGCAAAGATCACTGGCTCCAGGATTACTGACCTCATCGTAACTTAAAGAGCACTCAGAGAGCCCCATCTATTTCCAAATAAGCCCTTGTTCACAGGGACTGGGACTCAGATATATCTTTTAGGGGAATGTAATCCAACCCTCAACGTGGCGTCCACCTGGAGACACTCCTCCACATCCTTTCCTACTGACCATGGCCTCCACCTACATCTGCCCTTCTGTCCCCTGCTGTGAGCCAGTGTAGGACTGAGCACCCACACCCAATGCCTTTACTGCATCTCCTCAGCTGGACCCTCCAATTTCCTTTAGCATCTCTGCCGCCCCCCATTTCTGCCCAGCCTCCCACTCTCATCCCTGAAGCCTCAGTTTCTTCTCTGGCCTCCTCTGGTATCATCTTTTTTGTGGTTGCTGTTTTGTTTTCTTCAAGATGGGCTCTCATTATTACAGCCCAAGGTGGTCTCAAACTCATAATTCTCCTGCCTCAGCCTTCTCAGTGCTGGGACTACAGCCTGACACCACAGTCAGCTCGGGCTCATTCTCGACACTTCTACCTGGCCTTTCCCTCCAGCCCTGCCTCTAGGCCCTTTGTATGCCCATCCTGCCCTCCTCAGAGCCTGGCAGCTTCTTCTGAGACCCAACCCATCCCTGATACAGTGGCTTCTACAGCCCAGGATGATGCTGTGGAAGCCCCCAGCAAGAGCCACATCCTCCCTATCAGGGAGAGTCTGCAGTACAGGGCTGCACACGACCTAAACAACTCTTCCCTTGACCCACACAGCTAAGGCCTAAGCCAGCTTTCGTTGCATCTGTGCAGCTACCCAAGAGCCTACAGCCAGGAGGAGTGACTTTTCTATGACAACTGAGTTACATTCAAGAGTTCCCATCCTAGAAATTACAGGGTCATGTTGCTGATCAGGTCAGGCTACCCAGAGCCCTCCCCTGATCCAGACACCTTCCACCCAGCACTGCTGAGGGAGGTACAGCTCTCTCTCCTCAAGACTGTCTCATATCCCTGGTCTGTTCAGCCTCCTAGACTGTGGGTCGGCCTATGGGGTACAAAATGTACCTGGAAAGTGCCAGCTAAAGTGGGCAGGCTAAGGCTAAGCCCCAACCCACTTCCTGTACCTCAGATCTGGCCTGGAGCATCCGAGTTTCCATCCCGGCCATGCTGCTCAGCCAGACTTTCACCCTGGACTTAGCCCTCCACACCCGTTGCTCACAGTATCCTACCCCTGGTGGAGCCTTCTGAAAGAACAAGAAATACCTTCTGAAGAACAGAAGCACAAAGGAATGAACACGAGTAAGCTTTCTTCTGGCAAGTGGTTTAATCTGGCGGGGCTGTGACTCAGCAGAGTTGCTTACAGGTGTAAAGGCCTCCAGAACATTCAGCTTGCAACAGACCAGCCAGACCTAATTCAGCCACAGTGCAACCAGCCTCAGCTGCAGCCTAACTTGGAATGAGTCATCCCACTCCCAGCCTGACCTCAGAGCCTCAAGCCTGGGAAAGGCAAGAAGGGGAACTGGGGACCTCAAGGGGTCCCTCCCCAAGTTCTGGCCTGGCCCTGGTCCCTCTTCTCATCCCATCTCCTCTCCTCCCACCTCACACCAAGATCAAATCCAGATCATCTGAAATGTGGTTGGAGTAAGAAGCCACTGCTAACAAGCTGGAGATCTAGGTGAAACTAATTAGGTCAATTATACGTGATGTTGTATCAATCTCCCTGACCCAGGACCAACGAGGTCACAGAAATCAACAAAACTGCTGAGGAACAGGCCTGGCCCAGCTGGCTCCAGCAGTGACACTGCACATTCACAAGGCACACTGCAATTCCCTGCAGTCAGAGACACACGGGGCCAAGCTGCCCGGATTCTCCGGCCTTAACCCTATAAGCAGGACAGGGGCCCTTTCAGGGGCCAGGCTGCTCCCCCTGGTTAAGAGGAGGTGGCTACAGGAGGAGGGACACTCAGCACCCACTTACCTGCTCAGCTTCGCAGGGCAAGTGCACAGGGGAGAGGAGATGAGGCTGGGTGGGGCCACCCCGAGGATTCAGGGCCCTGTAGAACTGTCCCTTACTAGCGCACCCCAATAGACGGTTCTCAAGAAAGGATCCATGAAGTCATCTCCATTCCACGTGAAACCTCAGCTCACACCTGGCTCGGGGATGTGGACTCTAAGAGGTCCATCTAGGGGCAGATGTACCTAAGGGGCCAGCGCCCCAGGAGAGGGGCCCCTCCAACGCTTGGAGTAAGCACGGCGCCGCCGGTGCCCGGCTTACGAGGCCCAGGGCCTCACACATGCTGACTCGGCGCTGACTCACGGTCAAGGTCGCCGTCGCAGCCGCTGCCGCAGCCAATTCAAAGCACGCCGCGGCCCCATACACGGGACAAGACCCCGCCCACCCCGTGACACAGCCGCCGGCCCCGCCCCGCGGAGCCTGAAAAGCCGGAGAGGCGGGAGCACGCAGGCCCCGAAGGACTTGTCCCTCAGACCCGCCCCGCCCGCTAGGGGCGGAGCCTTTTCGGAGCCCCTGATCTTTCGCGCCTTCTCGGCCGAGGCGAAAGGGTTACCCCTCCAACTGAGCTCCGTGCCCCCGCCAAGTTATTTCAATCCAGGCCCTTCATGCCAAGCAGACAGCGAAGGAAAGCCAAATCGGTCAAATGGCTGAAAGAGGTACGCTGAACCCTGAAATACTGAACTAGTGCGGAACAGCCCGTTGTTCCATAATTGGCTCATCTTTCATCACGTAGCCAATCACTGTGCATAAGGAAATACATAACCAGCCCACACCACCCTCTGAAACAGCTAATAAAACGTGAACAGCCAGGCCTGTAATTCGAGCACTTTGGGAGGCTGAGGCAGGATAACTGTCTCAAAACTTTAAAAAAAGAAAGTACTGAGGATGTAGCTTCGTACAAAGGCCTTGGGTTCAATCCACCATGCGGGGGGCGGGGGAGTAAGCACAGGGAACCACAGGGCCACAGGGAAGGTTTGGGGTGGAGGTACACACTCTGGCTCAGACTGGCAGTGGGTTTGTGGGCAGCAACCACTAAAATACTGTGTGCAAACAAAGGCAATGCTGACCCTGAAAAAGCATCCTGCATCTCCTTATCTATAGGTAGCTGGTTCAGGAAATACTTGTGCCAATGGAAGAATGTGCTACAGAACGTCTGGGGCTGGGTATGGTGGCACATACCTATAATCCCAGCACTCAGGAGGCTGAGACAGGAGGCCGAGTTCAAGACCAGCCTGGACTACATAGTGAGACCCTGTCTCAAAAAACTTAAAAGAAAAAAAAAAAAAAAGATACAGTCACTACACGAAACTAGAACTGCAGCCAGGCCTGTTTAGAGTAATTCCAGATCCTACCACCTTGCTATATGGTGCCTCAGGGTTGGCAAGGACCACCTTTGTCCCTGGACCCCACAGCAGGAAGGTGGTGGTCTCCTCAGAGACACCTGCTGCCCCATGGCCTTGTGAGGCTGGGAGGAGCACTGAATTATAAAGGGTTCTCTAGCAGACAGGACAGAACCACAGTGGGGCCCACATAAGCATACCAGAGCTGAGGGGGCGACTTGAAGCCACAGGAGGTGGATTGGAAAAGTGACCCTTGCAAGGGTGGGAAGAAAGAGAATCTACCCAAATAAATACAGGGCAGAAGCTGGACATACAGCTCAGAGCTCAAACGCTTACCCGGCCTGGGTGAGATCCTGGGTTAAATTCTTAGTAATAAATAAATGAATAAACCATTTTTTAAAATGTAGGGTAGAAGACCCAGCCACATCAAACATGCCAAAGGCTATAGCTATTCCAAGAAAAGACAGCAAGACAATAGTCATGTGTGCACAGCCATGAGGACCTGAGGACTGAGGCTGTAGAGCCTCAGCAGTACACCTTGCTAGCTCCCGACTTCCCTCGTGCGCAGGACAGGGAACAAGAGTGTCTCTTATGTCCTCTTGAGGTACAGAGCTTGTGTACCTGACTGGCATGTGGGAAAACTGAGGGCAGCACATCTAACCTGCGTCCCAGTGAGTTGTTGAGAAGCCTGTGAGGCTGTGTTTACAGCACTCTCGTGGGACAGTAAACGTCACACCTGTTCCCTCACAGGGCTGGCCACCTGACTGGTTCACGCATCGACACGGATCACTGACACCAGCACTTACAGCCTACACTCACTTCGTCCCCAGATGGCATGTGTTACGCCACGCTCCAGACTCCATATCCCCACCCCACACTGCGCCCCTCTCCGACCCTGCAGGAATGGATGTATGAAGCGAAGGCTATGTGCCAGGACCCAACAGGCCAGGACCATGCCAGAGCCGACTAACAACAAAGGACTCTGGAAGTCACCACAACACCTGCCTTCTCTGTGTCCCTCCTTGTCAGAACAAAGAATATGCTGGAGTCAGCTGGGTGCTGGTCACCACGAATACAGGATCTCAAAGCGTCCTCATCTACCACTCACAAAAGCCTTCACGTGGTCCTGTGATCCCAGCTACTCAGAAGGCTAAAGCAAAATGATGTCAAGTTCAAGGCCAGTTTAAGCAACTTGTCTCAAAATTTACAAAGTGCTGGGGGTGGAGCCTACCTTGTACAAGCCCCTGGATTCCAATCCCAGTGCTGCAAAGAAAAAGAAAAGGCCTCTCCAGGTGGGGTGGGTGCCTATCCACCCACACCTGGGTTCTGCACACCCCCTGTGCCACCTGACTTTCACAGGGCTCCTGCACAGTCCGGCTCCCAGCATATCTCAGCCGTCGTCCTGCCCTCCAGCCCTCAACGACTCTGGGCAGCTGAAGAACCCTGAAGCCTATCGCCAGGAGCAGTGACAGTTGTGTCTGCTGGCTCCAGGGCTCACCCCGCCCCCTCCCTTAATTTTCATTCTCATTATCTCCCCCCATTCTGTAATGGCCACTGGGCAGAAGGCACTGCCCTCTGTGATTCTAGGGTAGCCAAGGTGGCTGAGATCCTTGCTCCCTTGTGCCCACCATACCCAGGGCCAGAGTATGACACAACCAGAGTGGCAAGAGGGCCACCAAAACCACGTATCTGGCAAGCGTTCTTGAACTCTCCTGCATAACTGCAGGTGCAGTGGTGGCCAGCAGCAGGAAAGAGCAAGGTAGGACTCACCTAGGACAGCCTCCACGGTGTTGCCAGCTGGGTCCGGCATGGGGCCACGGGCGGGGAGGGCAGGCAGAGCGGTTGGGGAGGAGCTACCTGAGCCAGTGCTGGACGCCAGGCTGGATGCCACACTGGAACTTATGCTGGGGGCCAATGGATGAACCACTGAGAACACAGCGAGATGGTTCTGTTCAAAAACATACAAACAACGTGAGCGAGGGCTCTGCTCTGAGGACAGCAGCCTCACGTCAGCACAGCCTTCTGGTACTGCAAGGCAACATGAACTGTGCACTGAAGCGTGCTGGCCGTGACAGACTGTCCTCGCCACCTTACTGCAGGCAGGAGAATGTTTTCTGGACAATGTCTACTGAGTTTCTCAAATCAATCCGGCAGGGGCAGAAATGGGTCAGGCCGAATACCAGCATCTTTCTGAGCCTGTCCAGGTGTCCTGGGGGTTGAGTGGAAGGCCATGAACACTACTTCCTATGCTTCCTCTTTTTTTTTTTTTTTTTTTTTTTTTTTTTTTGGTATCAGGGATCAAACTCAAGACCTTGCGCTTTGGAGGCAGATGCGGTGCCACTGACCTATATTCCCAGCCCCTATGCCTCCTTTCTTATGTCTTTCTTTCTTTCATTTAATTTAGGTTTTTTGAGGCAGGGTCTCACTATGTAGTTGCAACTGACCTGGAACTATGTAGCCCAAGCTGGTCTCGAACAAACAGCAATCCTCCTGCCTCAGCCTCCATGCCTGGCTTTGTTTTGTTTTTCTTGACAGGATCTCACTATGGAGATCAGGCTGGCCTTGAACTCATTACGTAGCTCAGGTTGGCTGAGTGCTGGGATTACAGGTGTGTGCCACCACCCCACCCCTGGGCCTTCCTATGCGTCCTTACCCATCAAAGAAAGTACAAAGTGGAGCAATTCCTATCATGTCCATTTTTTATATAACAAATAAAAAGCAGTGATACAATACCAAGTACCCGTAACATGGAAGTCACGGTCTAAGAGAAAAACAAAAATGAACCACAAAGTGGTGGGAAGCCATATCCCCCACGGCAGCTGAGCAAGGAAACGCTAACCGCAAGGGCCCATCAAGTTGATAGTCACAGCCGCATCAGAGTGAGTTTCACACGGACATCTTTGCAACCGAAATGGTTCAATGTTCAGCTTTGCTTCAAAATGTAGGAAATACCCTCAGGCAGTGGGTGGAGAGATGCAACGAGGTGGATCACAAAGTGGGTGGCTTCACTACTTTGAGTTAAAAAATAACTGCTCAGAATGTTAAAAACTCAACGTAGATCTCACAAAGGACAGAGTCTAGCACAGAGTCACTTCCCTCAGACACATCCTTGGCCCCAGGCTTCCGACCCAGAGCAGAGGGCCTTGGAGATGGGTGCTGAGAGAAATGATCTCAAACTGCACACCTGGGGCTGGGGGCTGCCACCCGGCACACCCGGAAGGTTTGGGATGGGGCCTAGCTACTCCACCACTTGCTGCTAAGCCAGGGAACCACTTTCTTCCCGGCCCTGGGTGAAGCCACCACTGGGTACCCTGTTCTTCCCAAGCAGACACCCACAGCACACCTACGATCTCAGCTTGGTGAAGGGATGCTAGAAATCTCAAGTTCTAGAGAAAGAAATACAATGTGGGCCTCACCAGGCCCCCGTCAGGGACTCCTCCCTCAGGCAGGAAGCAATCATAGGGCCTCCCATAGGAATAGCCCTACAAAGGTGCCTGTGACCCCCACACCAGGGGGAACACAATTACCTAGATTAGAGGGCAAACACGTTTTCTGACAGCCAACTGCAGTAACAGACCGGATCACAGCTCATGGCTGGGATGCCCCCAGCAGTCTGGTCTCCTCTCAAACCCCTCCTTGAAAGTGAGCCCAGCCAAGGTCCACAGCCACAGAAATGAACCAAACCCACTCGTGTGGGCTCAGATCCACCCAGGACAGCTAGGACCTCATGTCCTACCAACTGAGAGGCTACCATCCTGGGTTATGATCATGTTCAAGGAGGCTCTGCGCCCCTCAACTTGCCATTTGGAATTTCAACCTTTTTGTGGTACTGGGGATCAAACTCTGGACCTTGTGCTTGTGAGGCAGGCACAGCACCACTGAGCTAAATCCCCGGATCCAGACATTTTCATTATGCATTCATCTACCAGTGGACACTAGAGTTGTTTGCATTTTAGTTGCGATGAATAATGCTGCTGTGAATGAGTCCTCACTTTCAATTCACTGTGTTTCGCTGTATTTTTTTTTTTTCTCCAGTAATGGGAATCAAACTCAGCACCTTGCACTTGTGAGGCACCATGGAGCTAATCCCCAGCCCTCTCGCATTCAACTCTTCTGGGGATAAATCCACAAGTGAAATTCCTGGCTCATACAGTGATCCTCTCTGTAACTACGAGGAACCTCCAGGGTCTTGTCAAGGGGCTGCACTATCTTACTCTCCCACCAGCAGTGCACACAAGTAAAAGTTTCTCCACATCCTCACCAGCACTTGTCACCAGCTGTCTTGAACTCACTACTGTGTGCTAAGGCTGGCCTTGAACTTGTGGCCACCCTCCAGTCTCAGTCGCCCAAGTTTTTTGTTTTGCTTTGTTTTTTGGCACCGGGGATCGAACTTGGGACCTTGCGCTTGTGAGAAGCCAGCGGAATCACTGAACTAAATCCCTGGCCCAGTGATTTTTGTTTGGTTTTTTTTTTTTTTTTGGTACCGGGGATCGAACTTAAGTTCTTGTACTTGCAAGGCAAGAGGTGAAACCACTGAGCTAAATCCCCGGCTACTTGTGTTTTTGTTTTTTGAGACAAGGTCTCATTATATAGTCCAGGCCGGCCTTGAACTAACTCTCAATTGCCCCTGCCTTGGCCTACCAAGGACTGAGATTTGATTTCAGGCACATGTCACCACTCCAGGTTTTCTACCACTCATCTTTAAAAGGTGCTTCAGAAGTTCTTAGTAGTAAACACAGGAGACCTCAGAGACACCGAGGACTTGATTCTAGACTACCACACTAAAGTGGGCGTCACCATATAAAGTGAGTCACATGAATTGTTTTTCCAATGGGCATAGAAGTTGTATTTGTATTATGCTATCACCTATTAAGGGTGCAGTATCTTTAAAATAATGTAAGTATCTTCCATTAAAAAATATTTGTTTGCTAAAAACTGTGAAGGGTCACCTGAGCTGTTGGAAAACGGCAGAAGATGGCAAAAGGCAGGGTGCCAGGGAGCTTCAATATGGGAAAGCAGAAGCCGCAGAAGCTCCTTAGTGAGATGCCCTTGCGCGGGGCAGCAAGAACATGAAGAAGAGGTGGAAAGCACAGAGTTAAATGCAAAGATCTCAGGCAGGGGAGGAGGTGAGTGTCTGTCCCCAGCTCACTGCTGGTAGGCCACACCTGTCCTCAGACCACCAGAAGCCTGCAAAGCACTCACTACTCTTTCGGGAGGGGAATAAAAAAAACACAAAAACCACCTTCCCTTGAGTGCTCAGGTTAATGGTGTCAAGAAAAAACCTGTTTCTCACAACAGGCAACTTAATTTGAACCAACACCTGGAAGTCAGTGGGAAGAAGTCTCCGGCCAGGGATGTGCAAAGCCCCTGCTGCACTTCTGAGGAGGGGAAATGGAACCTCAAGGCACAAGGACATATACTACAAATGGGAAACTCCTGCGGGGAGGGCACAACCCGCTGGGAGACCAAGCGAGACTCATGAGGGCAGACGTGGCTGAATGGTGTCCCCAAATCCATATGTAGGAGTCCTAGCCTGCAGGATCTAAGAATATGACCTTGTCTTTCAACAGTCTTTTTTTAAATAGAGTCTTTATAGACACAGTTAGGTCAAGATAAAGTCACTGGGGGGCTCTAATTCAATCAGGCTGGTGTCCCTTATAAGAGGTTAGGGCTGGGTGAGGTGGTGCATGCCTGTAATTCTGGCCCTCAGGAAGATGCTTTGGCCAGCCCGGACTACATAGTGAGACTGTCTCCAAAAAACAAAACAAAAAAAATAATAAATTTTAAAATAAAGAAGAGGTTAGGACACAGACACACAGAGGAATGACCATGTGAAGATACAGCAAGAAGACAGCGTTTGCGAGCCCTGGAGAGAGGTATGAGGAGAAACCAGCCCTCATCCCATCTTGATCTTGGACTTCTAACCCCCAGGACTATGAGAAATGGTCCATTATTTAAGTCATTCCCCTCAGTGGGGCTTTCCTGTAGCAGGTATAGCTAACTAATACATCAGCCTTAACAAGAACATCCTATACTTCCTCACATAATGTTCTGTATTTTCCAAGTTACAACACAAATATGTTTAAACAATAAAACAAAGTATTATAGACAGCTAAATTAATTACATATATTATATACAGTTAGGCAAGGCCTAACTAGAAAAAGCACAGAAAACAACCGCGGCCAGAGGCACATTCACTGAAAATCAGACTTCAAGAAAAAGAGGAACAGGGCTGGGGATTTAGCTCAGTAGTTACGCTGCCTGCCTCACAAGCGCAAGGACCTGAGTTCGATCCCCAGTACCAAAAAAAAAGAAAAGAAAAAGACGAACAACTACAACTACATCTACATAACAGCAGTGACTGATATTTTATATAGGTATCAATGGGGGACCAAAACCTCCCTAGCTCATTCCTGCTCAGAAAACCCTTGTTGGGTCCATCTGACTTGCTTCCCCATTTGATCCCCATTTTGCATGTTTTCTTTGGTACTGGGGATCGAACTCTGGACCTTGTACTTAACAAGGCTGGTGGCAGCACCACTCAGCTAAATCCCCAGCCCCATTTGATCCCCATAAGTGTTGCCTAAGTGACTATTTTTTTAAAATGACTATTCTTGTTGTAATCTTATTGGTTGTTTGTCCCACCTCATACCCATCTTGTGATTCTCCACTGGATCAACATTATCTAAGCGACTATACTTCTAGTTGTATCAGTTATCTACAGTTTTGTCCCACCTTATACCCACACCTTACCTTGTGGCTTCGCTCCATAAAAATCCCCTGAGAAGTGGGGTCCCCAGCCATCCACTCAGGACCCCTTCTGTCTCTCTCAGACAGAAGCTATCTTTCGCTCAATAAATTCTCTCTACTATTTACCTCCATTGTTCCTAGAATTCATTCTTCTATTTTAGAGAACATAAACTTGGCACGTTGGACATCTAGCAGGTTGGGAGTAACATTTCCCTTATCTCATATGCCCTATATCAAAAGGAAACATGGAAACAAAAGAACTTTTTTTTTCCAGTACCGGGGATCAAACTCAGGACCTCACACTTACCAGGATATCCTGAGTTTGATCCCTGGTACCAAAAAGAGAAAACAAAAGATAATTATCCAACAGACATCACCCACATGAGTCAAGAGTGAGCAGGAGCAACTGCGCAGGGAAGTCCGAACCAGGCACCATGCACGCAGCCAGAAAGGTCCCCAGAAGCCCGTCCACAGCACCTTACCTGTTTGCCATCGGGGTCACTGGCTTTCTGGCTGCCATCTGCAGGTGAGTCTCTTCGCTTTGCCTGAAACAGAAAATCCACTCATGCTAGGAAAAAGCAGGGAGGAAATGCCAATAGACATGGACCTAAGCTTTGCTCACAATTTAGAAAATACAAATTCTTCAAGGCATATGAAGCAGAAAAGACATTCAAATTTCATCTTCTCCGCCAGTTCTTGAGATCCATGTCATGTCTGTGTCTCTGACCACTGGGCACAAGACCCACACGCCCTGAATGCCCACGCTGGCCCACCCCAAGTGAGGCTCTATCCATGGTGAAGGCTCAGGTTGAAACTAAGGAGCACAGGCTGCAGGTCAGAGCACGCTATCCTCAGTGCAGCACACTGCATGGGGACGTCTGTGAGTCAAGGCAGGGGCAAACAGCACAGGCAGGGAAAGCTCCAGCTCTGCCCTGCTGCCCTGAGGCAGCATGCACCATCCTTTTGCGAAGGTGACCCTGGAAGGAAAGGGACTCCTCATCACTGGACGCTGACGCTGAGTCTGCATAACAAACCTTATTAAAATGATCCTTCTCTTCCAGTTTTCCAAAGTTTGTTGTCCTAGAGACCTAAACTCTTTCTCCTTGGTCTCCTCTGCTTCTTTTGTTTTGTTTTTTGAGATTGGGTCTTGCCGTGTAGTTCAGGCTGGCCTTAAATTCACTATGTAGCCCAGGCTGGCCTCTGCCTCCCAGGTGCTGGGAATACAGGCATACGCCACCATGCCAGGCAATTCTTCCTACTCTTAACCTCCCTTGTTCCTAGAATTCATTCTTTAATTTTAGAGAGCACAAACTTGGAAGTTCTATTTCCCCTGTATCACTGGAACTACAGGTATATGTCACCATGCCCAGCTTTTCCCCTTAGCTTCTCTCCTATGCTTTCCTATTAACTTACTGTTCTTTGTTAAAATGTCTGAGCCCCAGGTCTTTGGGCTTTCATTTTTCTTTCTATGAAGGTCCAATAGGCATATGCATGTATAAGCTTTTCCTTTTACTCCTTTCTTGCTTTCTTTTTGGTAAGATTGAACCGAGGGCCTCATGCATACTAGGCAAGCACTGTACCCGCGAGCTACATCCCCAGCAACATTTATGTTTTATTTTGAGACAGGGTCTTCCTAAAGCTGGCCTTAAACTTGCAATTCTCCTGCCTCAGCCTCTCAAGTAGCTAGAGTTACAGGCATGTGCTACCATGCCTGGTTCCAACAAAGGTTTTGGTCAGAGTTCAAGCCCCTCAAAACAAAACTAAACATAAGGACTGTCTCAGGCCTGAGGAGTCTTTGATTTTTACACCTGTTTTATGACAGGTGAATTTGCAGCAGTGGCTCAGACCACCCTGTCCTTCCTTTCTTCCTGGTTTGTAGGAGGGCCCAGAGGGATCACCAAGGAGCCCTGTCAGGAAAGCATAGATGTCCACGCTGGCACTAATCAGACAAAACAAGGCCTGATGGCTCCATCCTGCCCTTCTTTCTCACCTGATACAAGCTGCAGAACAACTCAACTTCTCCAGCCTGGGTCCTTCTTGCTTCCCCCACGGGATTTAGATAGAGGCCTCGAAATTCTCAGAATACCAGGCGAACACTGGGCAGGGTACATCCTGGCCCTCCCTGTTGTCCCCTCCTGCACCATGGGATGTTGGCAACCCTGTGCTGTTGCTGCACAGATACTTTCACCAACAGTGTCTCCATCCTCACTCGCCTTCCACCCCCTACCTAGGACTTCTGGGCCCCAGGAACAGGTACCATGTTCTCCATCACACACAGGTCTGGAGTCAGAGGTGGAGACTCAGAGCACAAGCAGTGGCCCTTGGTGCCATTACACTGTCTCCATTTTCAAGGGAAACTTCTAGTTTCAGACAGGGAGAGCTACACTGAGATCTTTTGTGTTCTTAGGGTCTGACGTTTTCTAAAGATCCTATAGGATCGGGCCGGGTGTGGTGGTGCACGCCTGTAATCCCAGCACTCAGGAGGCTGAGGCAGGAGGATCGCTGTGAGTTCGAGACCAGCCTGGGCTACATAGTGAGTTCCAGGTCAGTCTCAACTACACAGTGAGACCCTGTCTCCAAAAACAAAACAAAACAAAAAAAAAAAGATCCTATAGGATCAAAATCCAACCCCAACAGCCCCAGCAGTCCTGGCAGTCCTGGCAGTGCAGCTCAGCTTCCTGATCTTCTGGTTCTGCCTCAGGGAGGTCAGCTCAGCAACAAAGTCCTACTGCTGACCCAACAGAAGAGCCAAGAGTGCAGCGGGAGCCACTGAACTGCTCATTGTATTTCTGATTGGCTGATTGATTGACAGGCTCTAGCTATGTAGTTCCGGCTGGGCAGGAGCTCACTACATAGCCTTGGCTGCTCTTAAACTTGCTGTGATCCTCCTGTTTCAGCCTCCTGAAATTTCTGGGATTACAGGTGTGTGCTACCATGCCTACCACGCTCAGTGCAGACACCTTACATTCAGTCCCAAGTACAAAAAAATTTTTTTAAAGCCAGTATTAGTTTTTGCTCTGTTTTTGTAAACTGGCTGAAGTCCTATGCTATGGCTAGTCACCCCTGCAAGGCCCACTCCAGCACAGCACGTGGAGTCCTTCTAAGTAGCACAGCAAGAAGCAGGCTTGTCTGTCATCCTTTGTAACGCCCATTGGATAGATAACCCTTCTCCCAAAATTTGACAGGTTGGGATGACAAGGGCTGGGGAACCCACGCCAGATTATCCTGTTTGCTGATCACCTTCACCATTCCAGGGCCCTGAAAGCACCCACAGCAGACTCGGCAAAGATGAGCAGGGACAGAGCATCTGCATTTGCCAAGGCAAATGCTGCCCAACAGCCAGCATACCAGCAGCTTGCCCTGCTTCAGCTTAGGCAAGAATATGGCCAGGATTTTTCTAGATCCTTCTAGAAGGAACTGCCACCACCAGCTACACACTGCCTTCAACTACATCATCCAGACATCACATCCATCTCAGTCCCCAACAGTGACATCCACCCTCCTCCCCATGCTGTCCACTTACATTTCCAGGCTGGCTACTATGGGCCGAGGCGCTGCTGGCAGAGCTGAGATCGCGGCAGCCCCAGTCACTTGCTGTCCCAAGGGTCTCTGCCAAGAAAGGTGGGCAGCAGGCACTGAGGGACCACTGGTAAAATAACACACCTGGGGGCTTTGAAACCTCTGGAGCTAGGAACTGACAGCTGCACAGTCTCCTAACAACCACCCTTCTCCAGGGCCAGCAGAAGACAGCTAAGACTAAAGATCAGGGAGCCATGTGGGCCTGCACAGTCTTTAGAATCAAGTCTTAGTGCCTGAACTCTGAATGAGAATAGCAGCCCCTCCCACTCACAGAAAGTAAATTTTGAGTTTCCAACTACATTCAAAAAACCTGGATGGCAAACTCAGAAGCTGAGAGGAGCCCTCGGGATATGGGGAAAGGGGTCCCTGTGAAGGACCCTGTGGGCCTCTTCTCGAGAGACCATTGGGACCAGAGGCCCAAGGTTCTGAGCCTGGCAGTGCATGCATTCCAGAATCTCTAGTGCCCCTCGTCTCCACATGGATAGTACTATTTAGTCCCCAGTGGGATGGCAGGCCCAGTAGGTCCAGGAAAGCAGATACAATGCAAAAGCCAGATTCCCAGGAGGAGATGGTCCAGCCAGATATGTTGGGAGGCAGGCCCTGGTCTTGGGGCCCCAGAAGACTTTGGAGTCAAGGGTCCCTCTGAAGTCTGTATGCCCAGGCCTGAGGAAGGAGCAGAAGCCTAGAGAGCCTAGCCTCTCACCCTGGAAGCCTAAATGAGCACTCTCTCATCCTTAGGACCTTCGTGCGAGCTCCCACTCACTTTCTCCATCCCTCTCCAGACAACCCGAGCCAGAATCTGTAGTCACTGAAGGCAACAGTGTCCAAATGGCACCTGAGATCAGCCAACAGGGTTTACTCACTTTCAACATGTGCGAAGGCACAGAAAGGACCCCGAGGGCAGTAGCCAGTTTGGCGTATGTCATTGCATTTTGTAGATTTGTAGATCTAGGAAGTAAAAATAAAATATCAAACCTGGGTTTCTACAAGACCAAGCTGGGGCCTGGGATTTAGCTCAGTGGCTCCGCCACCTGCCTCTCAAGCGCAAGGACCCAAGTTTGATACTCGGTACCAAAAAAAAATAAAGAAACAGGGTCAATTGACTAGATTCAAACCTCCAAAACCGTCTAAACCCATCTTTTCTTTTTAATGAAGGAAGCTTGACCAACACACTGCTCCTCCACCGTGTGCCATTGGTCCTGAAATCTCTCTTCTCTACAGAATTTGTTGGCCAGCCAGGGAGCAATCAGGGGTGATGAGGCTGAACCTATATTACTGTCTGTCAAATCACAGGCAAAGTCACTCCCCCACTTTACACCTTCTCAGAAAGGGCAACTAAGTCAGTGTCAGGTATATAGCGGGTGCTCAAGAAATGTGTGTTAAGTGTACACGTGCATCTATTCCATGACCAGCTGTGCTGCCATGTCACTCAGGGTGAGAGACATTCATCGCCCAGGATCCCCATCCCCACCTCCTCTGCAGCCTTGGGAGCCCTGCAGGGAGCCCCACACATCCACATTTCAAAAGCAAACAACTCAGCAAGCAGGCCAGATGGACTTTCCTGAGGACAAACAGCCCCCGCCCACCTCCTGAGGAGCCTTCAAGCCCAGAACATCCCGCCCAGAGATGATCTCTGGGATGAAGGCGAGGAGTGGCCAGACAGCTTATCTTGCCACAGTAACTGGTAAGGCGATGGGCCACAAGATGGTGCTGGACCTCTGTAGGTGCTGGAGATAGCCATCAGGTAGTGCGCCAGCCTGGAAGACCACACCCAATAAAAGCCCTGGACACCAAGGCTGGGCGAACATTCCTGCTGGCAACACGCCCTGTGCTCTGGTGTGTCACTTGAGAGAAGCAGATGCTTTCCTCCACTCCAGCGGAGAGCCGCCCGTGCCTCCTCCCTGGCCAACTCTGACCTGCTCCCAGTGCGAATTAAGGCCTGAGTCCCGGGACCCCTTCCAGTAAGTCGGTGAGCCGAGGGTGGCCTTAGGAACCTCAGAAACTACAGAGTTGTCACCTGGCCAGCCCCACCCAGTGCCTACCTCAGGATGGAACTGCTGCTCCGTGCGGGAATGACAGTACTGACAGGTGTCCCCACTGTCACACCTCGAAGGCTCACCCCACTCATCACCGTGCTTCACGCTTGGGCAGGGGGTGGATCTGGGGACAAGAAGAGTCACCAGGGGACGCTCAAGGACACATCCTCTGTGTACCCCGGGCTTTCTAAATGTGGCCAAAGCACCTCTGACATGACCAGTTCCCTCCTAAGGGGGACAGAGGAGAGCAGAGGGTATACCCAAGCAGAGCCAGCACGGCGGGAAAAGTCCTGGGTCCCCTATTCACAGAGCTTCACAGGCCTGAGTCAGAGCCACCCAAAGTGACAACAGCAAGCACCAAGATCTGGGCAGGTACCAAGGGCTCTATCCCAGATACTGTCGCAAAGTATAGAACCTGAGACTTGATCCCACAATTCAAAAATCTTAACTGAATCTTCTGAGTCACCAAAATCTTCATTCTTCATGTACTCTGACAGATTCACTGTTATTTAGATTTATAGGAAAAATTCTCACCTATGAGACCTTTTTCAAAAACATAATTTTCCATTCCTTCCCTAAACAGGCTCCTCAGAAGGACCGGCAATGGTTAGGGCCACATCTCCCCAACTCTGCCTCCAAGTGCAGACTTAAAGCCAAAAGAGAAGAGCAGCTGGTCAGAGGAGGAGAAACCGGCTTTGGAAAAAAACAGGACCACACAGTGCACAAGTCCTAGGGGGGTCTAAACCCAGACCAGGCCTCAACCTCAAGAACCCTACACCCTGGCTACCAGCCATTCCAAGAAAGCCAGAGGTACCCCAACTGTGGGAGAAAGAGAAATGGCTGGATAGCCTTTAAGTTGGGAATCATTATCATTGTGCCTGGGGTACCAAGAGAAGCACACAGTAGCCAGAGCAGTCTCAGGGGACCCCCAACCATGGTCCCCACTGCTTGATAGAGGGCTCCGAACTAAAGGACATGTTGGAGCCACTGTGTAAGAGCCTGGGGAGTAAGAGGTCTAAGCCTCACCACTGATACCCATCTGTCCCTGAGAAAAATGTCTGGGTCTTCATCTTGCCTCCAAAAAGCTCTGTCTTTAGAACAGGGTGACAGTGTCTACATCAAGGCCTCACTGTGAGAAACCCAGGAGTGGGTAGCACCGGGAAAATAGGCTTGGAAAAGCACCCTACCCCTCAACACATGTGCACAGGTCACAGTAGGGACTTGGAGGCACAACCATACACCCCAAATCTGACCAAAGTGGAGGGAGACACAGTCCTGGAAGTAGCAAGACCACAATACACAGTGAACGCGAACCAAGGGGAACTGTCCCACATCCCAGGTCCCAGCTCACCTGTATGAGAATTTCCTGGGGTCCCGCCGGCGGTCCCTGCCATTGTGGTAGTGTGGGCATGCGTAGCCCTGGCGGCACAGGCGTGGAGGCTTTGGGCATGGCTCTGTCTTGTAGCTGCCCAGCACAAAGTTGGTGTCTGAAAAACAGGTTCACAGACACTGATCATAAAATGCACACTATACAGAGATCAAAAGCCTGTTTGTCGACCCACAGAGGAGTATGTAAATCAAAATGGTCCACCAAAATGGTCAACCCACAGCTGTGGGTTGGAGGTGACGACTGCTACCATGTGGATGAACCCCTGAAACACCAACATGCAGTGGAAAAAGCCACTCCATAAGGAGACACGTGACAGAGAAACCCAGACAGAAAAACGGAGCCAAGGTAACAGGGGCTGAAGGACAGGATCTCCTTTCCGAATGATAAAGATATTCAAGCTAGACAGAAATCATCACAGAACAACTCTGCAAATATATTAAAACCCACTGAATAGCTAGATCCATCCCTGCATATCTATAATCTCAGCAGTGAGGGAACCTGAGGCAGGAGGATCAAAACTCCATGTCGTGCCTACGCATCTTAAGAAATTAAATGAAACCTTAATGAAAAGGGCTTAATGTAGCTCAGTGGTAAAGTACCCTGGATTCGACATCCATACCACAAAGTAAATAAATACCCACTAAAGTACATATTTGGGGGGTACTAGGGATTGAACTACGGTCCTTGTGCTTTTGAAGCAGGTGGTGGAACCACTGAGCTAAATCCCTGGACCCTAAAGTGTGTACTTTTATTTTTTTTTATTTATTTTTGGGGTGGTACCAGGGATTGAACTTGGGCACTTGTGAGGCAGGCAGCGGAACCACTGAGCTAAATCCCCGATCTCTAAAGTGTGTATTTTTTTTTTTCAGCTTTAATTGAGTTTATTGGTACATTTTAGGGATACAGTACAGTTACATTCATTGTTGGGATCTTGTACCTCTACATGACAAGTCTTGGTTCTCATTTTTTCCCCTTACCCCTACCCTCCCTTCACCCCCACATCTACAGACACTTTATTTCCATCTTTTCATTATCTCACATTTTTTTCTTTTCCCTTATTACCCTTCCCCTACCCATCCCACCTTCCCTACACCTTTAGCTCCTTTCTTCCCATTTCTAAATGTCAGTAATCTTATTAGGATCTTATGTATTATTGCAGATTATTCACACCAGGGAAACTATTCGGTATTTACGCATGTTTGACTTATTTATTTCACTTAGGAGTATATCTTCAATCTAAAGTGTGTATTTTTAAATGGCTGTCTTTAACTCTAACATAAAATAATGACAGGCCATGCAGATACCCTGACTGTAGTAATGTCCCACTCCATGGCATGATGCCAGTGATGTGGGGTCTGGGGACTAAATCCAAGAACTTCATGGTTGTCTGCATTCCCTTTTTTTTTTTTTTGAGACAAGGTCTTGCCAAGTTGTCTAGGTTGGCCTTGAATTTGCAATCCTCCTGCCTCAGCCTCCTGAGTAGCTGGAATTAGTCATGTACTACTGCACCCAGAATAACACCTACTTAAAAAAAAAAAACGGCAGGGATCATTTCAAAGCAGTCAGATGGGAGAAGATTCCTAAAAGCCTCATCCTTCCTTTCTTTCCTCCTGCTCAGCTGATCTCTCCCAGTGGCACTGAGCACTCAAAACAGTGGCATAAGGACTGCCTCCTCCCCTGGCACTGGACTGGGCACTTGTCTGGAGGTGGAGGCTGACACTAGAACACAAGAATGCTGAAGCCAACGGCACCGAACGTGGGTGGCACAAAGCTGCCACCCCACATCCTGACCCAAGAGCTCAAAGTCCGTGTCCACCTCCCTGGCCTGGAGACAGGCTTGTGCAGGTTCCCATTTGGGACTTGGAGATGGGGGTCCCTGGCAGGCAGTGTCCGTAACTCTTGCCCAAAAGCTACAGTGTAACAGAGGCTACAGCTTATCAGCACTGCCTGGCACTGAGGCCGGAAAGAGGGTCAGCCTGAATTTCAAGGTGGCGGGGGTCTTGAGTAAAGGCCTAGGGGAGTGAAAAGTAGGGTAGCCAGGAAAGAGGTGAAAGTGGGAGAGGAATGAGGAAAAACTTCAGTCATGTTTATTAACCCATCCTTGGACCACAGACTTCGGACACTTCACTCTGGTGAGGGAAGAAAACCATACATAGGAAGAGAACCCACTGCCACCAAGACACCTATGGTTTAAAGCATTGTTTAACCTGTGAAAAAGCTGGAGGGGACACAGCATGATTTAGAATTTTTCTTAAAACCTTGCTGCCCACATCGTGTGTGGGACAGGCAATGTGCAGACAGGCACAGGCAGGAGGTTCAGGGCTGGGGGTGTGGGACCGCAACCATTCCTGGTATGAGTTTTCCATCTGGGTAATGAGAATATTCCAGAACTAGACAGAGGGGGCAGTTCCACAGCACTGTAAATGCATTAAATGCCACTGAATGGCTCACTTTAAAGTGGTAAATTGGGTGTTATTTTACCACCATTAAAGAAGAAAAAGGGCCAGGGATTTAGCTTAGTGGTGCCGCCACCTGCCTCACAAGCACAAGGTCCTCAGCTTGATCCTTGGTATATAAAAAAAAAAAAAAAAAAAAAAAAAGAAAAGAAAAGAAAGAGCCAGGCATGGTGGTTCATACTTATAATCTCAGCATTCAGGAGGCTGAGACAGGAGGATTACCAAGGGTTCAAGGCCAGCCTGAGCTATATAGTGAGTGCAAGACCAGCCTGAACCACATAGCGAGACCCTGTGTCAAAGAAAGAAAGAGAGAAAGAGAGAGAGAGAGAGAGAGAGAGAGAGAGAAAGAGAAAGACAGACAGGTAGACAGAGACAGATGGCGGGGGCTGCTGCTGGTCATATGACATACACCTACAGTCACAGCTACCTGGGAGGCTAAGACAGAAGATCAATAATTTGACACCAGCCTGGCCAATTTACTGAGACCCTACCTCAAAATAAACAGTGGGGATGTAGATCAGTGGTAGAGTGCTTGCAAAGCATGTGCAAGAGCCGGATTCAAAAACACAAAGACAGGCCAGGGATTTAGCACAGTGGTGCTGCCGCCTGCCATACAAGCATAAGATCCTGAGTTCAATCCCTGTACCAAAAACAAACAAACAAACAACAAAGAAAAAAAAAACTCTTTGCTGCTCATAACCACCATATGTGGCACCTGCCAGGGTTAAGCTCAGGCTTAAGGACCCCCTTCTAGGCAAGATCCAGAGATCCAAAAGCTGCTGACATACGCACCATGTAGAGAGCCCCAGAGCTAGAGTAAGACAGAACCTTCTGACATGAAGGGGCAGGTACCCATAGTGAACACCAGCCAGCACTGGAAGAGGATATCTAGACGCTGCTGTAAGCCAGATATGCACCCCCAGCCCAGAGGGCAGTCAAAGCTGACCTCAATGAGACACTGGAGCAAACCGGTATAAGTCACCTGAGCTTGCTGGGTGTGATGGTGCACACTTGAAATCCCAGCATTTGGGAGGCAGAAAGATCACCACAAATTCGAGGCTAGCCTGGACTACATAGTGAAACCCTGCCTCAAAAAAAATGTTTAAAAAGGACATATGGGCTCAAATCCTAGTTGGCTACCTGATACCCCAGGAGCCAGGTTTAATACTGGGCTGAGAAGCTTCAGTTTCCCCATCTGATCTGCGTCATGCTAAGGACAGAAATGACCCCAGCAGCGCTCGTGTGAAAGGCGACAACTCTGTCATGTACCATGACTCCCTCCGGCCTCAGGGAAAGCAGAGGGCTTACCTTGCCACCTGGGGTCCTCACCCAGGATCTTCTCGATCATGGCCTGGCTGGCCAAGACCCCAGGCTGCAGATCAGGCACACCATCCCCACCACCAAGCTGGCCATTCTGCAAGGCTTCCTGGGCCTGCAGCTCCCTGAGACCAAGAGCACAGCATTAGCTCCACAGGGTCCCAAGCCTTCTGGAGGTAAGAAGTCATTGGGACCTGGGGGTCCAGAACCACTTGGCTGGGTCAGTTAATAGAGTGCACTACCTGGTGGGTTCGAGGTAGGGTCTCCACAGCAATGGGCACAGCCCTGGCATGAAACGATAATCCCAACCCAAGTCCCAGCGATGCAAGAGTTGAGTTTTGCTTAGGAAGGATTCACATTGCTGTATCAGTGGGTGGATACCGGGTTCATCGGCCTTTAAGGGATCGCTCTATTACCTCATTGTGAGTGCCCATAGGACAGGACACGGGAAGGAAACAATTAGGACAGATGAGCAGTTTCCTCATTAGAAATAAAGCTGGGATTCAAAGAAAGAGAGGCTTTGGACCAGTGGAAGCACGAGGGAGGAGAGCCGGTCCCCATGCAGACACCCTCCTCACCTAATGTCACAAACAGGCGGCCGCAGGTCCAGGGGGCCATGTGCAAAGGCGCAGTGCAGCCCATTCTTCACACAGTGGCCCCGCCCGTCTGTCTCATGGATGCACGTGCCTGTCTTGTAGTAGCGCAGATGATACTTGCGCTCCGTGTCTCCAGTCGTTCGGTGCAGGTAGGGACACCTGGGAAGCAGAGGGACAAACACGCTCCACCTGGTTCTTGGGCACCTGAGGTTCCCTCCAAGATTCACCTGTGTACCCTGAGCACCTGGGGGGGGGCAGATGATTCTACTTCACACTGACTCAGTCTGACCGGCAGGATGAATGTTAATAAAGGAGCACCATCTCCTTATTTGGGACCTGCCCCAAGGACTGAGACCACACTGAACCCATCAGTTATACATAACAGAAAAGCACACAACTCTCCATGAAATCATCCTTCCTGGTTTGCCGAGGAAAATTTTTAAACTCATGTCTGTGTTGCATGCAGCCTGTGTTGTTTTCCTGACAAGACATTACTAGAGAAGGGGTTGTGGCCTCTCCATCCAGCATCCTGGTGCTTTTCACGTGTGGGGAGAGACAGGCTTGGACATACTAGGGAAGGAACATGGAAAAGAAGGACCGGAAGGCAGGTGGCACAGACGGGGCACCACCACAGCACACCACAGACCCAGGGCCATGTGCTCCCAGGGTGAGAACAGCAATAGAGATGATGTGGAAGGTTCCAGCATTCCTGGGGCATGGAGACTGAGGTGCTTCTGGGTGGCATCAAAAACCCAGACGCGGTCGCAGGCGTATGCAAAAGACTCCAGGCTGGTGACAGTTACCTTGAAAAGCCCAAATGGCAAGGCAGAGAAAGGGGCAAATTCTCAAAGCTAGGGACAGCCCGCTTTTACTGGTCGGTCCTCCTTCTGTGTCTCTCAGACAGAAACTATCTTTCTCAATAAACTGTCCTACTCCAAAAAAAAAAAAAAAAAACCCTCAAGGGTTGGGGATTTAGCTCAGTGGTTCCGCTGCCTGCCTCACAAGCACAAGGATCTGCGTTCAATCCCCAGTACCAAAAAAAAAATCTCAAATCTAAAGACATGGAGCTACTACCCTTCGAGCTTGGCCTCCTGACCCCCTTGCCATGGGCAGGGGCTGTGGCCCTGTTTCTGAGCACTTGCTAGGGTGGCCAGGCTCACAAAAAAACTCAGCACTTAGTCTAGACCCCCATCCTGTAAGATGGGGAGACAGAGACTGAGTTCAGAGAACAGTGCAGTATTTGGAACTAATAAGTGTTACCTTCTTGGCCACTAAAAACCCACTTTTTTTTTTTTTTTTTTGGTACTGGGGATCGAACCCAGGACCTTGTGCTTGCAAGGCAGGCAGTGGAACCACTGAGCTAAATCTCCGGCCCCCAATCTTAATTTTTAAAAAGTGTGTCTCTCTATGTAGTTCCCACTGTCCTCAAACTCACTACATAGTCTAAGCTGGCCTTGAACTGGCAGCCATCCTCCTCCTGGGTGCTGGAAATACAGGTGTATGCCATCCTGCCTGGCCCCTTTTTTTTTGAGACAAGGTCTAAGTCCCTATGTTGCTCAGACTTGAGACCCTTTTGCCAGAGTACCCTCCAAAAAAATTTTTTTTAAACGTAGGGTCTCGCTAAGTCACTAAGTTGCCCAGGCCAGGCTCAAACTTGTGATCCTCTGGCATATGTCTCCCAGTGGACAGGCCCTCTTAAATGCCACTCCACTGGTGGGGCTTTGCCTTGCTCAGCCTTGACCTTGGCTTACAAACCACAGCTCAGTCACCCTGCAGAGAGCGGAGTACTCACCCTACCTCAGTCCCTGTACCTATTCACATGAAGTACTGCAAAAGGTCTCTTCGTGGAGATAGCAGATGCCAGATGTGTATGATGCAAGTCACACCACAAGGCTTTCTTAGAAATGAAAACCCAGAAAGGAAGTTCAGTCTCTCAGAACCACAGCCCACCTGACAAGGGGCTGCACAATGCCCAAGCAGGGAGCTGGAAGGGCTCCACAGGGCAAGTAGGAAGAGGAGGTGTGCCCTTCACCACGAGGAATCCTAAAAAACAAGGAAAACCTACATGACAGCTGGGGACATTACGCTGCATTAGTGGGGTGAGCCCATTTCTTACTTAACAACAAAGATAAAGGGCCCGGGATTTAGCTCGGTGGTGGTGGCACCGTGCCTGACTCGAAACAGCAAGGTCCTGAGTTTGATCCCCAGTACTACCAAAAAACAAGCAAAAAAAAAACAACAAAAAGCCAGCAAGGCTGGTCTGGAGGGACACACCCCTAAGGGGCAGCGCCTTCCGACTGGAGGGTTTAGCAAGGATGGTTACTTTGTGTACTGCAGAGTTGTGGCTATTAGAATTTTCCCAATAACCCAGAAACCTCCGCAAAAGGGTGAATTTTTCTTTCAAGTCGGAGAAACAGCACGCGGGCAGGCGAGGCACCGACCACCCGCTGCCAGGAACTACCAAGATTTAGGCTGGCGCCTAGGGGTCTGGTTCCCACTGTGGGGGAGGGGGTCGGGCACACGTGACTCCTGGAGGCCAACCACGGCCCGGCTGGGGAAGGGGCGTGTCCACCAGAACAAAAGCATTTCACCAGGGAGGAACCGAGGGGGCAGAGAGGACGAGCTCCCGCAGGAGAGGATGAGTGGACACTCAAGAAAGGGGGCAGTGGTGGGTTGATGGGTTGCCCATGAAGGTCAAGTGGAACACTTGGGACACCATGGGAGGGATAAAAGCTAGGGGGTGGAAGAGGGTGACCAACGAGGAAAGGGAGAGCCACAGGAGGGGGATGGCAGCAGGTGTGCCCATCAAGAGGTAAAAGCCCTGGGGTCAACCTTCCCTGGGTCCCCACTGTACCCCAACAACAAGGCTGGATGGTGTTTTGCAACAATGGTTGAGTCTTTGCTCTTTGATACATACTTATTTTAAAATAAAAGGGCAGAGCCCGGCCAGGTGACAGATGCCTGTAAACCCAGGACTCAGGGAGGCTGAGGCGGAGGGGACTGCAAGTTCAAATTCTGCCTGAACAACCTGGCAACACCCTGTCTCAAAATGGGGGATATAAGTACTGTACACCAATAATAGTAATGATGACAATAATAGGTCGGTAGTGCATATGCCCAAATTAGAAGTTTCAAGAACTAGGAAACTGATAGTATCTATTTACAATTTCCATGACAACCAGGCATGACCCAGAGTATGTCTCAGTAGGGCACACTCTGGATATTCTGTTTGCACTGATGGGAAAGTCCCTCTTCCAGGAAAGGCGCAGAAATAGCCAAGAGAGATTCCTGGGGAGGCAGCCCGTCAAATATTTCCTGAAGGTCTGAATCAAGCCTTTTCATGTGCTCAATAAGAGTTACAAACAAAATCTTTAAAAAGACCATATGTGATTCTTTTTTACAAGTTACAGATGTACACAGGATGCAATCAAATAGAAAACATCAAAAAAGCATCCTAGTCCTGCTTGTTGCTCAATGATAAGCTGCAAGTCATGTAAGCTGCATGTTAATATGTGTAATAATTGCACATTATGTAATTAATTCTTCAGCATAGCTAAAGATGACTACCTACAGGTAGGTGTTAACTGCAGCACTTTCCACCCAGGTAATATCTGGAAACCACCTGATGCACAGCAATGGGCTGAACCAGTACCAGGACATCCAAGCTCTGGAATCCAAAACACCTGAAGAGCTGGGCATGCTGATGCAAAGCTACAGTCCCAGCTATCAGGAAGGCTTAAGTGGGAGGATGGCTTAAAAGCCTAGGAGTCAAGACCAGCCTGGGCAACATAGTAAGACCTTGTCTCAAGAAAAGAAAGCGGGGGAAAATTGCTGCTGGGCTTGATGGCACACACCTGTAATCTCATGTAATCTCACAGCTTAAAGAGAAGCTGAGGGAGGAGAATCCAGAGTTTGAGGCCAACCAACCTGGGCTACACAGTGAGACCTTGTCTCAAAAACAAAACAAACAAGCAAAACACAGAAACAGGCACAGTGATGCCTATCTGTAACCCCAGCATTTTTGGAAGCTGAAGATCAATCACAAATTCAAGCTCAACCTGAGCAATTTAACAATTTAATAAGACTTTGTTTCAAATTTTTAAAAAATGGGGGACAGCTGGGGATGTAGCTCAGCGTGAAGGCCATTAATTCAATCCCCAGTACTAAACAAAAAAAAAAAAAAGAGAGAGAGAGAAAAGAAACAAAGAAGAGCCAGGCATGGTGGCACAGGCCTGTAATCCCAGCCCTTGGGAGGCTGAGGCAGGAGGATCACAAAGAGCTCCAGGCCAGCCTGGGCTACACAGTGAATTCAAGGGCAGTCTTAACTGTACATAGCTAGACCCTGTCTAAAACTAAACAAACAGAGAGAGAGAAACTTTCTGTATTATAAATTTCACCAGAGAATATACTTCCAAGTAGGCCTCATGCTGGCCTTGGATGGGGTCAGACAAGCAAGGTTCTGGTCTTCGTACTCCCATGGATTCCTATTCCAGGCTCAGGCAGCAGTAGTCTCAAGATGACCAAGAGACCACAGGAAGTTGGGGACTGTGACCAGGTCTCAGCTAGACAGTCACTTGTCTTTAAAGAAGTGCTTTAAGGAAGCAGTAGCTCAAGCTAAGTATGGTGGCACGCATCTGTAATCCCAGCACTCGAGGATAAGGCAGGACTGCCATGAGTTCAAGGCCAATTTGGGCTACATAATGAGTTCAAGGCCCACCTGAACTACATAATGAGACCCTATCTCAAAACACACACACACACACAAACATGGAGAGAATAGGTCAAAAAGCAAATTAAAAAGCACAGTTTTTTTTGTTGTTTTTTGGTACCGGGGATCGAACTCAGGACTTTGCACTTGAAAGGTAGGCAGTGACACCACTGAGCTAAATCCCTGGCCAAGCCCAGTTCCAGCAGAATACCATCTTAACCAAAATGGAGCTAGCTACTTTTTTGGGGGGAGGGGAGCATTGGGGTTTAAACCCAGGCCCTCATGCTGAGTGACATCATCAATCCTCTTTTTTTTTTTTAATTTAAAAATAAAGTCTTGCTGAGCTGGGGATGTAGCTCAGTGGCACTGTGCCCTGCCTGGCAAGCACAAGGTCCTGAGTTCGATCCCTGGTTCCACCAAAAAGTGGGGTGTGTGTATGTGCTAAATCACTAAATTGCCAAGGGGAGACCTGAACACATCACCAGAATCCTCCTGCCTCTCACAGTGCTAGATTACAAGAGTGTACCACCATGCCTGAATTGGTTACGTTATTTTTGAGTTTAGTCTTCAATGTGTTGACAGCAACTATATAACCACTGGTGTCCATTAAAACCTTGCCAGCCAGTTGTTAGAATAACCATCCATCAAAAGTCTACTCCCTGGGCCAGGGATTTAGCTCAGTGGTTCTGTCACCTGCCTCACACCAGCAAGGACCAGAGGTCAATCCCTGGTACCAAAAAAAAAAGTCTACTCTGGTATTTTTTTTAGAACAGAAAACAGACTGTATGCTGGGTTTTCAAGTGCAACAGGGTGACAGAATGTCTTCAAAAGGGAGAGTACTGAAGCCAAACATGGTGGCAAACACCTGTACTCCCAGCTACTGAGACAAAATCGAGTGCAAGTTCAAAGCCAGTCTTTGTTGCCTTAAAATGAAAAATAAAACAGGCTGGCAATGGAGCTCAGGTTTAATCACCAGTGCTGTTAAAAAAAAAAAAAATGGGCGAGCACTAAAACATGAGATCCTTTCTAAGAGTGACTGCCACCTCACTTCTATGTAAGATTGAGCCACCTGTCCCCTTCTCAAACAGCCCACAGGAAGAAGGTAAACCATCCTGACAGCATGTTCCACCATTCTGTGGATACAGTCTGACTTCGATTTTCCATGTTTATACTTCAAAATAAAGACATCTGTTGATAACACCATTAAGAAACTTGTTAAAAAAAAAACTTGATTTCTTAAACTTTGAAAGTGTTACGTAAATGAGTCCGCAAATAAGATAACTTTCCTATCGATTTTCTTAAAAATTAAAATACAAGGGCCGGGGATTTAGCTCAGTGGTTCTGCTGTCTGCCTTGCAAGCACAAGCTCCCGAGTTCAATCCCTGGTACCAAAAACAAACAAACAAAATTAAAACACAAAAACAGCAAGAAAAGAAATACTACAGACCACTTCTATAGTATGAGCACATGTTCTGACCACTGCAAACCAGTCCTAAACCTCAGAGCCAGATCTCCTAAGGGGAGTTCTAAGGAAGGAAACTTGGAGGACTGGGTGGAAACTGAGTGGGAATTGAAGTCAAATCGGCTTTAATTATATAAGAGTTATTCCTACAACACACACGTCCCTCCCAAATTAGCCTGTGCTGGGTGTAGTGGCACGTGCCTGTAATCCCAGCACTGAAGATGCTTAGGTAGAAGAATTGCTGGGAATTGTAGGGCTACATACAGTAGTGAGTGCAAGGCCGGCCTGAACTACACACTGAGACCCGGTCTCAAAAAACTAAATCCAAAAAATAAAACCCAAACTGGCCTAAAAATGGGTAAGTGACTCCCCCATCACTGGAGAAGGAATTGTAAATACATTCCTTCCAGAGATGCCAGATAAGCCCCTGGCAACTAAGGGTCAAGACCCCATTCAGCGAGAGGCACCCTCCGGTGGCCCACAGGAGCCCCACTTACTCGTCACCGTCGGGACACAGGCCGGTGGCCTCGTCGTACTTGGAGCAGTACACGTCGGGGCTGTAGTTGAAGGTGCCATCGCGCCTGCGGAGCGGTCTGCGGCGGCGCTGGTTTAGGAAATGCCAATGGAAACAGGTAAATGGCCTGTGCTGGCTGCACTTGTGCTGCACAAACAGGGGGCACTGCTCTGTCCTAAACTCCTTTAGATACCTAAAACGACAAACAGCGTTGCGGGTCGCCTCCGCCGTCGGGCGGCCCCGAGACTCGTGGGCTGGGCAGGGTCCCCAGGCGCGACACCACCCTCTTGGAGCCCAGGTAACCCCAGACGGCCACAACCACCCCCAGTCCGACTCGTTCCCCGGAAGCCAGTCACGGTCTCCTACCCCAGGCGCGACCCGCCAAACCCCAGACACGATTCCCCTACCCGGAGAGCGACCCCTCAGCCCCCAGATGCCACCCCCCTACTCCAGGCTCAACTTCCCAGTCCATAGACGCGGTTCCCCGATCACAGATGGAGCCCTCCATCCAGGCACAACGCGCCCCACTCAAAAGCCCAGATGACTCCAGGGGCCGAACCCACTGGGGCGCGTTCTCCAGACCCTAGGCACTGTTTCCGAGCCCTAGGTGCGACCTTCCAGACTCCAGGCACAGCCCCTTGACACCAGGCGCGACCCCCCCCATTCCAGACGAACCCCAGGCGCAGCCCCCATCCCCAATGCGGGCGCGACCCCCAATATCAGGCGCGGCCTTGCGTTCCAGGAGCGAAAACGCCAGCCCTGGAGCCACCCCAAACTCTGGGCGCCGCCTCCTGCTTTCTGGCGGCGGCAGCCTGAGTCGCAGGATCGCACGCCTATCCCGAGACCAGGTGCTGCCCATAGCCCCACACCCAGGGCCCGCTTCCCAATCCCAGCCAGAAGCGTGCCGAATCGCGCGCCCAGGCGCGCCCC